GGGTAAAAAAAAAAAAAAAAAAAGGCGAAACCTGAGAAAGATTGCGGTTCCAGGCAAATGCCTATCGGCCTCTTCATTTGCAAACAAGCAGCGTTTTGCACATAAAATGATTCCATATTCTCTAAAAACACTACAGATTTATCCTCAAAACAGATACAAGTCCTAAGTCCTACTAACCACTTACAACTTTGGAGTAGAGAACAAGTACCCAGCTCCCTCCCCTCTTCCCTCCTCCCCCATCACCCCATTCAAAGTTCTTACTATTAAAAGCAACAGAAAATCGAAAAATTGCAAGAAAAAAGTTGCACTTACAGTAGCCAAACATTATTGAAAAAAGTGGGAAATATAATTAATGTCTGTCCTGCGTGGTATCGCTGCAACCTGCAGCCAGCTTTTGCCCAGTGAGTGCACGAGCTTGCAACTGCAAAAACACTGGATTCATTAACCATCTGAATGCAGAACGTAAGCATGCTTTGAGTTCTTAAAGCTGACCAAAGTTTTTTTTAAATGTGTATGTTTTACTTCAACAGTGCCAGCGTTTTAAATTGCCATGTAAACAAAGACAACTTTAGGAAAAGTTAGGGCCTCTGAAATCTCCCCCCAACAAATTAATGTGGATATGTCCATGTCCTTGTAGCTGTCTTACTTCAGGTTGTGCACTATTTTCTTAAGTTTGCTTTGATTCTTATTTCCAAGCAAGTTCCAGTGCAATTTAAGCTCTTGAAACATAATGGCTAGAATACTTTTTTTGTAATTATAGTTTTGAACTTGGCAGTTATTTTTCAATTAAATGAGAACACAATTCAAAGTTTTCCTGTTTTTTTTTTTTCAGATGCCTACAAAATCTCCCTGGAGCTAGAAATGAAGTCGTCATATTTGCCTGCTCCTTGAGATCTGAAGGAATTCAATTTCTTTTCTTGTGGCATATAAAATATAATTTTAAAGTCAATTACAAGGAGTAATCTTCACTCTGCAAAATTGACTGGTTCACTAATTTGACGATAAGACATCTTTAATGATTGTCAGGAGATAAACTTTAACTATAAACGGCTAAATATATTTATAAGAAAAGCGCTGCATCTCCTGCCACATGAACATGAAGCATATCCAAATACAACATCAAAAGCTGTGTTAAAAAAAACACAACAAACCCACACAACAAGATTAAATGATGTGCAAGCCCATGCCAGCTGCAGTCTATGCATTACGGCCAAATCAGAAGCATCAGTAAATGCCGTTGTAAATTGTAATTTGTATGCAGTATTTAAGCAGAGGGTGGAGTTTGATGAAGAAATAAAATGAGTATCATGCTTTAAAAAAATGACACGACTATGAAAGCGCGGTTCAGTCACAAACTTTCCTTTCAAAGTGGAGGGGTGAAAACAAGGCCACAGCTCCAGAGGAGGCGGCCCCAGCTCCGTGGAGAGGAGAGGGAGCCAGTGAACGGGCTGGGAGCCCCCCTTCCCCCCTAATTAGACCTACAAGTGCAATAAATCTCACTCCTCTTTTTCCAAGCTAAGCTCGCAAAAGGATGATGGCAGCAATGAATCTAAGGTTCAGGGTACTCTAGTCCCCCTCCCATATTAGATAAAAGGTATGAAGAGGTGCAGAGGAAAGTGGAATGAAAAAACAGAAAACAGTGTTGGGGGGGAGGGAAGCACCCCTGCCCAAGTTCATGCCAGCACAGCCCCAAGCATCCTCACGCACACGCGGGGAAGAGTCACACACCGAGCACAGCCAACAGGGTTGGGAAGGCGATCTGCAGTTCCGGCCGGGACCACAGGAGCCCCAGCCCCACACAGCAGCCACCGAGGTGAGAGAGAAAGAAAGAGCCAAGGAGGCGGGCGAAGCGCGGGGACAGAAGCAGAGAAGAAATATTCACCTTCCCGCCTCATGCCCACTTTGAGGCACTTCTTGAGGCGGCAGTATTGGCACTGGTTGCGATGGTGCTGGTCGATGGGACAGTTCCTGTTGGCACGGCATGTGTAAGTTAAGTTCCTGCGGACGCTCCTCTTGAAGAAACTTTTGCAGCCCTCGCAGGTGAATTGGCCGTAGTGCTTGCCGCTCGACTTGTCCCCGCACACCACGCACTCGATGTGCTGCTGGCTCTGGCCCGAGCCGGGCGGGCCCTGGCCCTTGTCCCCAGCCG